AGGCGCCTGTAGTCCAAGCTACTCGGGATGGCTGAGCTAGCGTTAGAGGAATGGCGTAAACCCGGAGCGGGAGGTTGCAGTGAGCTGAGAATCCGGGGCCCACTGCCGACTCCAGCCGGGCGGCAAAACAGACTCTCATCTCAAAAAGTTAAAAATTATTATAATGATATATATATAGGGACAGAAAGGAAATATATGCTGAAGTGTTCTAAAGCTAATTTACTTAAGAGATTGCCGGCGGCGCGGAAGTGGCTCAAGCTGTAATCCCAGCACTTTGGAGGCCGAGGCGGGTGGATCCACGGCGGTCAGGAATCGGAGGGACCATTCCTGGCTAACATGGTGAAAAAAACCCCGTCTCTTTACTAAAATACAAAAAACTAGCCGGCGTCGGTGGATGGCGTCCTGTAGTCCCAGCTACTCGGACCCAGGCTGAGGCAGGAGCAATGGCGTGAACCTCTGGGAGGCGGAGCTTGTCAGTGAGCGAGATCGCCGCCCACTGCCACTCAACCTGTGGGCGACACAGCGCGAGACTCCGTCTCAAGTTAGCCAGGATGGTCTCGATCTCCTGACCTCGTGATCTGCCCGTCTCGGCCTCCCAAAGTGCTGGGATTACAGGCTTGAGCCACCGCGCCTGGCCTATGTCCATATTTTAACATGTATGTTCTGGGAGGAAGAAAGCCTTTTACAGCAGACGTTCCAGGTTGTACCTGACTATCCAGTTATTTTAATAATGATTCATCCCTCCCTACAAAAAACTTGGAGCGTGCAATGGCTTTGGCTACAAGGGAAGTCAACCTGTCCCGCAAGCCTGACGTGTGTGCTCCGCGGGGACTGGAGGGTGGGGCGTCAAAGCCACCATTCTCCGCAGTAATAACTCAGGCGACTCTCTGTCCCTTAGGGTGAAACTGGACGTTCATTTTCCAGGTCGAAGCCACTGGTCTCAGCTGTGATTTCACCAGTTCCCTGAAAGAGAATACCCTGAACCTTCACGGAGCCAGGTAAACCCAGAACCTGCCAGAATGGAGCAAGAAACCTCACGTAGCACTGGGATTTCTGTTTTCCATTTCAGAGAGAGGGTCTTCCTTGTGCCTTCTGCTGATGGTGAAGCTGAGACGCTGGCGACTGTTGACACACACCTGTCAAAGGCATGCCTCACAGGCAGCCCAAACTCAGGCGTGGCCCCTTCCGAGCCCCACCTGGGACCGCAGAGGACAAGGGAGCTCACAGGGCCATCTGCCGCGCCACGAAGGGCTCCAGCAGCTGGGTGTGCACTCTAGGCTTCTTCGACAAACTGGGACAGCCGCTGCTCATTCTGGGCAGTTTCTGAGGCAGCACATTCAGACGACTTCCTGCCGCATTAGGAAGCTCCGTCTTGTGAGCCCCGGGGAGGCCGGCAGGTTGGCACTTTCAGAGCCTTTAATGCCCCAGAGCACTAGACTTGTAGGGCTCGGGAAATCTCTGCAGCAGGTTTCCATGACCTAAGTAGCCGATTGCTTTTGAATAAAATCAGGTCCCCTGCTCCGGCCCTTCTGCCGGGCCAGCCCTCCCTCTCAGAGGAGCTCTCCGACTTTTGGACCTCTCTGCCCGCCCCCCACAGCCGCCCTCACAGCCCTGTGCAGTATTGGATGAGCCGGACGTGTCTGTGTTCCTCCGATCTATGCTCCAGGCCATGTCCTTGGCATGGGGTGTCTGTCACAGAGATTTAGATCACATGTTCACTGAGTGAACCTTGGGGCGTAGAGGCACACACGACCGTTTGAATCCTGCCCACGTCCCCCTTCTTCTCATGCAGCGAACTTGGCACTGAAGGTCACAGCACACATGGTCCTGGTGATCGCTGAGTGCTTCTCTCCTGGCCTCCATTGCAGTAGCCGTCCAAGGAGCTTTCTCCCATTCAGAAGCGACTTCTGCAATTCTTCACTGGGGGCGCTGAGCTCTTACTGGCAAGCTAACTAATGCCATTTTGTTAGGCTGTCTTTCCCTCCCTCCTTCCTTTTCATTTAACTTTTTTCCCCTAAAATCTCAGGGGAATCACACGCTTGGGTCAAGTGGGCAGTCTGTGAGCTACACTGAGCAAACCCACCATGCCCCTTCTCTGGTTCCTGAGTTGCCGTAGTGGTGGGTTTAAACTTTACTTGGCAGAAGTTCGAGGATACAGTTGTCGGCAACAACCAAAAAAAGGGCTTGATGTCGACGGTGGAAGGCAGCGGTTCTCGAACCTCAGTGATGAGGCTTGCATGTTACTGGATTCCCCCCGAGGCCTACTCACTCAGAATGATTTTTAGAAGTTGAAATAAAATTCACATAATGTTGTATTTACCATTTTTACGTGCACGATTCAGTGGTTTTTAGTGTATTAACAATGTTGTACAACCATCACCACTCTCTAATTCCAGGACTTTTCATCATCCCAAAAGAAACTCTGAGCCATTAGCAGTCACTCCTCCTTGCCCCTCCTCCCATTCCCTGGAACCCCTCACCTGCTTTCTGTCTCTGTGAATTTCCTTATCATGGACATTTTATTTTATTTTATTTTATTTTTTGAGACAGTGCCACTCTGTTTCCCAGGCTGGAGTACAGTGGCGTGATCTTGTCTCACTGGAACCTCTGCCTCCTGGGTTCAAGTGATTCTCCTGCCTCAGCCTCCTGAGTAGCTGGGATCACAGGCACCCACCACCACGGCCGGCTAATTTTTGTATTTTTGGTAGAGACGGGGTTTCACCATGTTGGCCAGGCTGGTCTCAAACTCCTGACCTCAAGTGATCCACCCATCTCAGCCTCCCAAAATGCTGGGATGACAGGTGTGAGCCACCGTGCCCGGCTCAGACGCTTTATATAAACGGATTCCCACTATATGTGACCTTTTCTGTCTGGCTTCTTTCTCTTAGCACAGGCTTTATCCACACTGTGGCATTGGCAGCACTTGATTCCTGTTTATGGCTGAGTAACATTCCTGTATGGAGGCCCACGTGTTGCTTCTCCGTTTATCAGTTGATGGAATTTGGGTTGTTTTCACTTTTGGCGATTATAGTGATGCCACTGTGAACATTTATGTACAAGTTTTTGTGTGAGCACATGTTTTCATTTGTCTTGAGTGTATACCTCGGAGTGGGGTCTCCAGGTCACACGAGAACTCTATGTTTAAAATTTGAGGAACTGCCAGACTGTTTTCCACTGTGGCTGTGACATTTTATGTTCCCACCAGCAATGTACCGGGATTCAATTTTTCCACCTTTCCTACACTTGTTGGTTTTTTTTTTCCGTTTGTTTGATTATAACTACCCTAGTGGATGAGAAGTGGTATCTTGTAGTTTTAGTTTACGTTTCCATAATGACTAATGATATTGATCACCTTTTCATGTGCTTATTAGCCATTCACATATTTCCTTGGGAGAAATATCTGTTCAAATCCTCTGCCCATGTGTAATTTGGGTTGTCATTTGTTGCTGGGCTGCGAGAGTTCCTAACATCCTGGATACTGGACTCTTATCAGATATGTGACTCGCAGCTCTTTTTTTCCCACTGTTACTTGTCATTCATTTTCCTGGTGCTGTTCTTTGATATACAAGAGTTTCATTGGAATGAAGTCCAATTTATCTTTTTTCTTTTGTTCCTTGTGCTTCTCGCATCCTGTTTCAGAAATCAATGTCTCATCCACGGTCATGAAGATGTACACTCTCTTTTCTTCTACGTGTGTTTTGGAGTTTTAGCTCTTACGTTAAGGTCTTTGATGTAGTTTGAATTAGTTTTTATATATAGTGTGATGTTGGCACCTGTCTTGGTCCATTCAGTGTTGCTATAAAGGAATACCTGAGGCCAGGTAATTCATTTTTAAAAGAAGGTTTAATTGACTCATGATTCTGATGTCTGGAAAAGTTCAAGATCAGGTATCTGCATCTGAAGAAGGCCACAGGCGGCTCCAGTCATGGCAGAAGATGGCATGGAGCTGCTGTGTGTGGAGACCACACGGACACGGAGGAAGCAAGGGCTAGGGGTGCCAGGCGGGCTCAACAGCCAACTCTGGAGTGAACTCATAGAGCGAGAACTCACTCATTACCACGAAGACACCACCCAGCCATGCGTGAGGGATCCGCCCCCATGACCCAAACCCCTCCCATTAGACCCCACCTCTGACATTGAGTATCAAATTCCAGTATAAGATTTGGAGGCCAATATCCAAACGATAGCAGGGTCCAACTTTATTTTTTTACGTGTGGAGAACCGTTTGTTGGAGACAGTATTATTTCTCCACTGAATAGTTTTGACGACCTTGTCAAAAATGAACAGACTGTGGACTCATGGGTCATTTCTGGACTTTGGATTCTGCTCCATTAATGTCTGTGTCTCTCTTTACGCCAGTCCTACACTCTCGACTGCCGTAGCTTTAGACTTAGCTTGAGAAACCAGTAACGGACTAGTCCATGTTCACATTCCCATAAAGGAATACCTGAGACTGGGTAATTGATAAAGAAAAGAGGTTTAATTCGCTCATGGCTCTGCAGGCTGTGAAGGAAGCCTGGTGCCAATGTCTGCTTGGCTTCTGGGGAGGTTTTGGGAAGCTTCCAGTCACGGCAGAACGCAAAGGGGGAGCAGGCACGTAACATAGTGAAAGCAACAACAAGGTTGGGGGTAGGTACCACACTTTTAAACGAACATATCTCATTTCGATATTCAAGATTTAGGTGGAGGCATGTAATAAAATGATATCAAGTAAGTCTGAGCCCTCCAACTTTGTTCTTTGTCAAGACTGTTTTGGCTACCTTGCATTTCCAATAGAATTTTAGGTTCAATTTGTCAATGTCTTCGAAAAAGTTACTGAGATTTTCATATGGATTGGATTGACTCTGTTGATCAACGTAGGGAAGAGTGCCATCTTAACAATATTAGGTCTTCTAATCCATGAGCATGGAATGTCTTTTCATTTATTTAGTCTCAAAATTTCTTCCTGCAATGTTTGTAGTTTTCAGTTGTCAGTGTAGATTTCAGTTTCCACTCCCTGGTTAAATTTATTCCTAAGCATTCTGATTTTTTATACTGATCTCACGTCTTGCAATTTTGCTGAACCCATTCTCATAGTGGTGTGTGTGTGTGTGTGTGTGTTCTTTAAGGTTTTCTGTACATAAGACCATAAGAACAAGTCATCTCAAAATATAGTTTTACTTTTTTCTTTTGAGTCTGGATGCCTGTTATTTCTCTCTCTTGCCTAATTTTTCTGACTAGAATTTCCAGAACAATGTTAAGTAGAACTCATGACGGCAGGTGTTTCAGTCTTGCTCCTGGTCCTGGGGGAAAGAATCCAGTCTTTCACAGTTGACTATGAAGTTAGCAGTGAGTTTTTCCTACGTGGACTTTGTCATGTGGAGGAAGTTCTCTTTTAGTCCTAGTTACTGAGTTTTTTGTTTAATCACGAAAGGATGTTAGACTGTGTCTAATCCTTTTTCTGCATCTATTGAAATTATCACGATTTTTTCCCTTCACTCTATAAATACGCATATTATATTAATTTTTGCATACTGTGCCACCCTTGTATTCCTGTGATAAATCTCTATGGTAAATTATCACACGGTCGTCATGTATAATCCTTTTAACATGAAGCTGGATTTATTTTGCTCGTTTTGTGGAGGATTTTGCCTCTGTTTTCTTTTCTTTCTTTTTCTTTTTTTTTTTTTGAGATGGAGTCTCACTCTGTTACCCAGGCTGGAGTGCAGTGGCGTGATCTCAGCTCACTGAAACCTCCGTTCCCAGGTTCAGGCAATTCTCCCTGCCTCAGCCTCCCAAGTAGCTGGGACTACAGGCACCTGCCACCACACCTGGCTAATTTTTGTATTTTTAGTAGAGACAGGTTTTTGCCATGTTGGCCAGGCTGGTCTCAAACTCCTGACCTCAGATGATCCACCCACCTCAGGCTCCCAAAGTGGTGGGATTACAGGCGTAAGCCACCGTGCTGGGTCTTTGTCTTTAGACAGTTTGTGGTGCATCAGTGTGGATGTCTTTGAATTTATCTTACTTGGAGTTTGCTGAGTTTCTTAGATGTGTAGATTAATGTTTTTCATCAAATTTGGAGGGTTTTCTTAAACCATATTTCTTCAAATATTCTTTCTTCCCTGTTCTCTCTTTCCTTTCAGGCCTCTCATCATGCAAACGTTGGTACATCTGATGGTCCCACAGGTCTCCTAGGCTCTGTTCAGTTTTCTTCAGTTTTCTTTCTGCTCATCGGATAGGATACCACCAAATGATGCATCTTCAATTTCCCTGATTATTTCTTCAGTGTGTTCATAGCTGCTGCTGAGACCCTCTAATGAGCTTTTCATTTCAGCTAGTATCTTTCAACACCAGAATTTCTATCACTTTTTTTTATAACTTCTGTCTCTTTATTGATATTCTCTATTTGGTGAGACATCATTCTCACAAATTCCTCCAGCTCTTTGAAGATATTAAACAAGCTTATGTGAAGTATTTGCCTAGTGAGTCCAATATCTGTGTTTCTTCAGAGATATTGTGTTTTAGTTCCTTTTTCCTGTCTATGAGCTACACTCTTGTATTTTTTGCATGCCTTGTAATTTTTTGTTGAAAACAAGATTTTTAATAAGTGGCAGTTGTGGAAATCAGACTCCCCTCTCCCCAGGATTTTCTGTAGCTGCTGTGGTTTGTTGAGTAACTTTTGTGAACCAAGTTTGTAAAGTTCATCTTCTTTGTCTGATGTGGCCATTGATGTCTGTTCCATTAGCTTAGAGGGCAGTAAGTGATACAACATAGAGTCTTAAACGTCTGGAATGAAAACTAAAACTTGGTTTTGCAGATGGGCTGTGTGTCTTGGAGCCACCTTCAGCACGCAGCCAGGCCGGTCAAGCCTTGGTCTTATCACCTCCTGCTCGCAGAATCTGAAGGTCAGTCCCAGGAGGGACTTCAGGGCCTTCTCGGGATTTTCCCGGCATGTGCGCAGCCCAGGCATGTGCGTGGCATTCCAGACTCCCGGAAACTCTTAGAACCTTATCAAGCCCTTATTTCCGAAATCATCTCATTCCCCAGCCTTTCATCCCCAGCTTTTTGTCTACCTGTGGTCCCAACTATAACCCTGAGGCAGCAAATGGCCAAAACACTTTCCCATCAACGTTTCTGACACACACTCCCCAGGTGGCTGCCTTTGCACAGACAGACTTCCAAGAAACCGGAGATGAAGGAGGGCGTTTGAGCCCGTCTTCCACGGAGCCACAGTAATTACGATTCCTCAAGAATGAGGCCTGTAGCTTCCCCTTCCAGTGCTGCTGCTGGTACCGGGAATGCAGGCTGTTGCTTTCAAGGCTGCCGTGGAGCCGGGGAGCTGGGTATGTTAAACGGCGACAAAGCTTATTATTGTGACCGGACCGAGACTCAGCTGTTCTTTCTCAGTGCCCCACGGCTGGTGCAAGCTTTTGGTTAGTTTCCAGAGTTCCAAAAAAGCTGACTCTTGACAGTTTTTACCAGGTTTTTCATTGTGTTCAGGTAGGGATGGACTTTCGGAGCTCCATATTCTGCAGTTTCTCCGCCTCACAGAGCCAGGAACCCCGTTTTCCAGCAGGTCCCCTGGCTGATTCCGACGTGGTTAGTTCGCAGGGCACACCGGGGGAAACTAAGCTGGGACTGTGTCTCTCCCGCCAGACATCGCGCCGTCCTCAGTGCTCGGTGGGGTCCGCCCTGAAACATCTGGCTCTTTGGAGTTTGAGTGGATTTGTGAAAGCTCCGTTCGACCCCTGGTTCCAAACCCGTAGTGTGAGAACCCAGCTGTTCTCTTGGCGATAACTCAAGGCGGGTCCATCACCTGGCGGGGTCCGCGGGACGCCTGAGGGTCCCCCACGCGGACCAGGTGCAGAGGTCGGGCCTGCGGAGGAGCGGCCAGTGGGCGGGCGGAGGGGTCTCAGAGCTCACCTCCGAGAGTTCGGTGCCGGCCGGGCCCTGGATCCCCGCGGGCGGACGCGCTCCCCCAGCTCAGCCCTCGCGGCCCTAACGCGCTCCTTTCCTTTTGCAGGAGCCCGGCGGGAGCCCCTCGGTCCGGTCCGGCCCGGCGCATGGAGCCATGGCCCTGTTCCGCGGGCGGCGGCGGCGGTGGGACCCGCGCCCGCCACGTCATCATCAACGTGGGCGGCTGCCGCGTGCGCCTGGCCTGGGCCGCGCTCGCGCGATGCCCCCTCGCGCGCCTGGAGCGCCTGCGCGCCTGCCGCGGCCACGACGAGCTACTGCGCGTGTGCGACGACTACGACGTGAGCCGCGACGAGTTCTTCTTCGACCGCAGCCCGTGCGCCTTCCGCGCCATCGTGGCGCTGCTGCGCGCGGGGAAGCTGCGGCTGCTGCGGGGCCCGTGCGCGCTGGCGTTCCGCGACGAGCTGGCCTACTGGGGCATCGACGAGGCGCGCCTGGAGCGCTGCTGCCTGCGCCGCCTGCGCCGCCGAGAGGAGGAAGCGGCCGAGGCGCGCGCGGCGGCGAGCTCGGGGACGCAGGAGCCCGGCGCGCGCCCTGGGGCCTCGGGGGCGGCTGCAGCGCGGCCGGCGGCGCCTGCGCGACGTGGTGGACAACCCGCACTCGGGGCTGGCGGGCAAGCTCTTCGCCTGCGTGTCCGTGTCCTTCGTGGCCGTCACGGCCGTGGGCCTCTGCCTGAGCACCATGCCGGACATCCGCGCGGAGGAGGAGCGGGTGAGCGCGGCCGTGGGTGGCGGGGACCGGGACCGGGGCCGGAGCTGGGGCTGGGGTCTAGGTGCGGGGAGGCGGGTGGGGGAAGGGGCTCGAGGCAGCCATAGCCAAGACCTAGGACCGGGCTGGGGGCTGCCGGGGCCGGGGTGGGCCGGGGCGGGGCTGGAGGCCGCCGGACCGAGGGAGCGCAGCTGATGGTGATCTTGGCCAACCCCCACCCCCAGCGGGAGACAGCAGAGACTCCAAGTTACGTTCGGTTTCCACACGCAGTATCCGCTCCACAGGCCTCAGCTGGAACTGCTTAGCCCATCAGTTCCTCAAAGTTTGAACAACATGGAGCTAAAATATTGGGTATCCGGGGCCTAGAGAATTGTGTGACATTTGGTCATTCTGGATCACGGAGACCCAACCGCATTGTTCCAGGGCTGGAGGACAGTGCCAGGGCCAGGCAGGCCTCTGGCTGTGGAACCGAGGTCTGGGTGCCGAGGGCTGTGTGCTGAGACGTCTGGGTGCTGAGGTCTGGGTACTGAGAGGTCTGTGTTCTGAGAGGCCTGGGTGCTGAGGTCTGGGTGCTGAGGTCTTGGTGCTGAGAAGTCTATGTGCTGTGAGGTCTGGGCGCCGAGAGGTCTGGGTGCTGAGGTCTGGGTGCTGAGAGGTCTGGGCGCCGAGAGGTCTGGGTGATGAGGTCTGGGCGCCGAGAGGTCTGGGTGCTGAGGTCTAAGGTGCTGAGGCTGGTTGGCTGAGAGGTGTGGGTGCGAGGTCCTGGTGCTGAAGAGCCCCTGGGTGCTGAGTCCTGGGTTTGCTGAGAGGTCTGGGGCGCCGAGAGGGTCTGGGTGCTGAGGTCTGGGTGCTCTCGAGGTCTAGGTGCTGAGGTCCTGTGTGCTGAGAGGTGTGGCGGCTGAGCTGGGTGCTGAGGCCCTGGGTGTGAATGGTCTGGGTGCGAGGTCTGTGTGCTGAGAGGTCTGGGTGCTGAGGTCTAGGTGGCTGAAGTCTGGTGCTGAGAGGTTGGTGCTGAGGTCTGGGGCTGAGGTCTGGGTGCTAGGTTCTGTGTTGCCAAATGAGGAGGTCCCCTGGGTGCCGCTGAGGTCTGGGTTTGCTGAGGTCCCTGGGTGCTGAGGTTCCTGTGTTTGAGAGGTCTGGGTGCCCTGAGGTCTGGTGCTGAGTCCTGTGTGTTGCAGAGGTCTGGGTGCTTGCAAGGTCTTAGGTGCTGAGGTCTGGGTGCTGAGAGGTGTGGGTGCTGAAGTCCTGGGTCTGAGAGGATCTGTGTTCTGAGAGGTCTGGGTGCTGAGGTCTGGGGTGGCTGAGGTCTTGGTGCTGAGGTCTTTGGTGCTGAGAAGTCTATGTGCTCGTGGAGGTCCTGGGCGCCGAGAGGTCTGAGGTGCGCAGGTCTGGGTGCTGAAAAGTCCTGTGGGCTGAGAGATTGGGATAAACTGGAGTTTCGGGGGGGGGCCGCCGAAGAGGGGTCCTGTGTGCCTGAGTTCTGGGTGCTGAGAAGGTCCCTGTGTTTGAGAGGCCTGTGTGCTGAGAGGCATCTGGGGCGCCGAGAGGGTCTGGGTGGCTGAGGTCCTGGGCCCCCGAGAGTCTGGTGCTGGGAGGTTCTATGGTTTGGCTGGAGGTCTGTGTGCCTGGAGAGTTGTGGTGCTGAGGTCTGGGTCTGAAGGGTCCCTGTGTTCTGAAGAGGTCCTGGGTGCTGAGGTCCCCTAAGGGGTATTATGCTGGAGGTCTAGGTGCTAGAGATCCTGTAGTGCAGAGAGGATGTGGAGATGCTGAGGTAACTGGGTAACTTACAGAGAAGGTACTAGGTGTTCTGAGAGGATCCTGGTGCTGAGGTCTGGGTGCTGAGGTCCTTGGTGCTGAAAGAAGTCTATGTGGACTGTGAGGGTCTGGGGCGCACGAGAAGGTCCCTGGGTGATGAGGATCTTGGGGCAGCCGAGGAGGATCTGGGTGATGAGTCATGGGCGCCAGAACGGTCCTGGTGCCCTGAGGTCTGGGTGCTGAGTCTAGGGTGGCTGAGGTCCTTAGTGTGCTGAGAGTGTGGGTGCCTGAGGGTCGGGTGCTGAGGCCTGGGTGCTGAGTCTGGGTGCCT